GCCTCAAAACCAATCTGCTGCTCTTGTACAAAGAGTAGTGCTTACTGTGTGGCCACTTTCTCTGTGATGCTGGCAGCCTACAAAATGGCATTCTTCTCCAGTAGCGCATTTTTTGGTGACTGACGTACTCTTCCCATGGTCTGTGAAGAGATGAACTGTCAAACAGTACTGAGTACCTACAAAATAAATTTTAAAATGTTTATTTGCGTAACGTACGCGTTCTTTTACAGGGTTTAAAAACTTCACACAATTTAGCAAAATATTCCCGTAAAATGACTTATTTGGGCTGTATAAAGCCATTTTTCAACTTGATCAAAATACCATTTAGCAAGAAATTAATTAGCGATGAAATCTTAGAGCTTAACTGACCCTTCAAACCTCCAGAAAGGCCGCTATCATTTAAACTACTTATTAGCACTATAATCTACACATTTATCTTCCCTTCTCTACTCTTTTTCGCAGCACATTCTTGCTTTCTTTGCTTCAGACATGTTTCCTCATTCCTCCAGCTCATTTCTTCCCCTTTCCCACCGTTACTGTGAATACCACTGCGAAGAACAATGAGGAAACATATTTTCATCCTTTTCTACGTATCTGTCATTCTCTCATACAAGTATGATCCCTAGTCGTTCAGGTCTTGCTGCTCACAAGCAACCCTATAGCCTAGAGAGACCATTAATACCTTGGGACGGTATCCAAAAGGAAGGGGATAAGGCAACAAAGGCAACTCTTAAACACCATCTTTAAAATTAATTCCTAGGAAGCATGTAGCAACACACACGCATATAATTAATTAATATATTATCAATATATTAATAATACATTAATTACTATATTAATAAAGTATTGTTATATATTACATAAAACGTTGTATACATATATATAGAGATATAAATAATTTTTCACTGTTGCTTTGCACTCTGAAACGGTCAAAATGTTCACCTCAGCAGAAATTGTATGACTCAGTATTACTAATAACATAACTGAGAGCACCACTGTGTTGGCACGTTAATCCTATTCAGTTAGACTTCTACAAGATGGCTGAGTCAGGGAGAAGCAAATTTAACTATCATAAAGAATCTCCTTAGTACAGACGCACTTACTTTCAGGACACCATCTATCTTCAGCCCATCTGTTACAGTTGTAATTGTCCACTGCATTATCACAGGTAAAGCACTTAAAACTGTTTGGAAATGGAGTGGCTTTAAAAATATTAAAATATAGTAAGTTTGCAAATATTAAGAAAAAATATTCAAAATAATACTCTAAGTGCTTCTACACACATACACTTACAAAAGCATACTACATACATTCACATATTTTCACTGATACCTCACTGTTAGACAAATAAAACCTATAAAACAGGTTTTGTAGAAAGCTTTTACATTTTTAACTGGTTTTGCTGTGCCTGAACTTTAAGACGTCTCCTCCTGTTTTCATTCTCTCACAGTCCAAAGTACCGTTTAAGTAGTGGTGGGAAAAACAGGAAAGAGAGAACATCTTACATATATGCACGATAGTACATCCGCATCTATGCTTGTACAGATACACAAACACAATCTACATTCAAATGGCTTCTGATTCCTTTGATGGAAAAAATACATCTTCAAAACCAGCTTCAGACCTTGATCTCCAACTCTGAAGAAGTCTGAACCCTTTGACAAAGGCATCAAGAGGACTATTTTAAAATCTTATTTACATCCTATAAATATATAAATTATTTTAAGATGCACAGTTCCCTAGGTGCACATATATACCTATTATATGTAGCTGTCTTGACTGTTTTAATGATACACATCATGAAAATCTTCTCCCCTTAAATGAAGGGATAGAACACTTCTGATGCTAGATAAGAGGCAAAAAAATGATGCTATTAGTGACAACTGGCTTCACAGGTCTCACAAGGTTTTTAATTACCTTCAGTTTGAATTAATTGCATACAGCACACCTATTCTTTCCCTCACAAAAACCCCAACAAGATAAAAGACAAAAACATCTGTTCTGTATTATTTATGAGAAATCCACTGCATAATTTGCTCTGTAGGAAGACATTTCAGAGACAGAAAAATATAATAAAAGCGTGAAATGTGCAAACTGTTGCCCTCATGCACTCTTTAACTTAGCAATGCATGCAACTGTTTGTTTTCATTCAGTCAACTCACACAATCTTAGGAATAAACTAAACCGCTGTGGGTTGAAAAGCAAAAGTTCTATTTTAAACTTTTTATCCTTCATGTTTGAAGAAGACAAACAAACAAAGGATTGAAAGAGTATGGCAATTAACGAAAACGTTAAGCTACAATTGCACACACAAAAAAAGCATAGCTGTCTACTTACGGTCTAGCGGAGGTCTCACATTGTAAAAGTTGATGTTCTCAGCTGAAACCCGATTTCCTGAAAGGATGAAGAATGGAAGAAAGGCTCCGGCCAGCATGTGACAGAATAACAACATGCTGAGTATTATTGTACATGAAAAGCAAAACTCTCAGGCCTAGGAAAGAAAGGGAATACATTATTTAGGGGGAATCATAAAGAACTGAGCATGTAAAACAGTAAATTTCCTGTGAACTACTTCCAAAACCTTGAAAATTCAGTCCGTAGATCTATACTGTGAAGATGGCTAATGCAAGGAAGAATGCAATGATGAACAATGCAAAGCTGAGCAGTTACTGCCTTCTGCTGGCCAAGATCCTGTACAAAGTACTTAAATGTCCACAAATGTAAAAAAAGTTAACATTATTTCTTTAATCTGTTTGTCCTTCTAAGCAATGTCAATCTTCTAGATTCCTTGTAAGCACTCCTAAAAATCAACACCAAAACAGAGCTCCTTTATATCCTACTTGAAACAGGCAGGATTACAATACCATTAAAGAAAGCAAAATGCAGACAAGTGTCATTTTTAACACCAACAGCCCAGAACCCAAGACCAATTCCTCATCTGATATAGATCAATGTATATCTATTGACTTCAGGTAAGCTACGGCATCTGAATTATAAGTGCACTCATCAGTGGCACAGCATTAAAGATCATGAGGGTAAATTAGATTTATTTCTTTTTAAAGTGCATACCAAGGAAATGCTAAGGAAGATGCCTGGTGATGTTACACAAGTTTTGGAGAATTGCAAAGTAGCACATTCAGAGAGATGAGATACATGTTTTAGGCGTGCTTTGCGCATTTATTTGGGGCCCCCTGGGTACTTTGGTAAGGCTTTCTAGAGAAGAACTACTAATCAATGAACATTTTGGTCAGTTTGCTATTTAGATGTACACACATACATACACACACACACACACACACAGAGGTATGTCTGGCAAATTGCAGTGACACTGGAAACCGAGGTTCAGATATTAAAAAGGAGAGTTAGATTAAATGGTGCTCCGCCCATGCAAATTCCCAGCAGGAGAAACAAGCTTGAGTGGAGGCTCCCGCCAAACCAGAGACGTTGCTTTGAGCTGCCAAGTCCATTCGTTCAGAAATCTCTCTGCACACCCCTATGTAGATGTACACCACACCTGCGCAGGAAGCTCTGCATGGATGCCAGCACTGAACTGAAAATGCTACCCAAGACCATGGCAGAGAAGTCAAAGGATTTCCTCCTTTTTCCTGCTGTTTTTTTGTTTGGGTTGGTTTTTTTTTCCCCCAATTGACACAGACGGGAATTATTTGAAGGATGGTTTTGCCAACAAACCAATCAACAGGAAGTTCAACTTCATGCATTGGGAGTTTAGCCATCCTACTTAAGATTTGTGTTTTAAATCATGGCTTTATGAATATATTTCAGTAGATACTGAGAACGCCACAGCATACCTCTACTTCCAGTGCACCTCCAAGACTATTTTCTGTGGATGGTCCAGTCGTGAAATAGACTTTGGGGGCAACAGCTCAGTGACTGTAGCCCAGGATCTAAAGAAGGATTAAGAAGAAGAACCTGTGGAAAACAAACAGCAACTGATTATCATAATTCTGTCCTGAAGGAACTAATTAGCTGAAACACTGTATGCCCTTATTTATACTGAAAATTAAGATAGAATCCTAGAAGTGTGGTGGGTTTTATAACAAAATACCCAAAGAAGCACCTGAAGTACACAGTATGGCTCTGCCTCATTGAGTGCTATCCTACTGCAGAAATACAGATTCCCTCCTTCCTGTGATAGCCCAATGTCATAAAAGACAAATGAAAGACACAAAGTGAAGCAATGAGACAACTCAGTCCTTCCATGAGGATGAATTTACTTCTCTCGCAAGGGAAAAACATTATTCAGGCAATGACCTGGGCAGGACGAGACTATACCAGATGAATAGATATTTCACACTCTAGAGATATGCAAACTTTCAACAGATGCTATGACCAAAACAGAAGCACTAATCAGCAGCAAGGTAACCTAAAAGAGCAAAGACAATCATCAGCCTCCAGATTAGAGGTTATTAGCAAACTACGAAGTAAACAGGTCCCCCACAGTTCATTCCTTACTGAAATGGAAACACAAAAATGTTGGTCAAATCCCTAACACCACTGAAAAATCCAAAATAAACCTAAAACATGGTTACAGTTCTCTCCAATTAAGCACACGATATTTGCACAGTGATATTCCGCAGCATTAAAGATGGGCTGTTTATAACCCACTTGACTTGTCTCACTAACACATACTTGAGGTGCACACTTCAAATGTGCACTTAGTTTTAGTGGGCCTTTTTTTTTAATTTGTTGGGAGACAAACCTGTGCGTCATGACCGGATGCTCTTCTGCTGACAAGTCAACCCACATCGTGTTCTGTCACTGAGCTGTTGCCCCCAAAGTCTATTTCATGACCCTGTAATATTTTCCAAGAGAGATCAGCAGAACGTGGCATTATCCAGGACAGGAGAAAGAGAAAAAAGGAGACAGTGCTGCTACTACAATTCACAAATGATCCAACATACTATCCAACTTAATTTCTCCTTCCTCTAGCATCCTTAGCTCTACCAGTTTATGCTGGAGACAACATCTCTCCCTCAAGTTCCTTTTGTTTTACACAGTTCATTTTAAGTTAGTGCTTAAAAACTCTGTCCTTTGCCATCTTTACCTAATATTCTTCATATCAATGTTTGCTCACAAAATAAGCTTTTATGCCAGTGTCAAGAGGTGATAGAATTTCTGTTCCAGCTGACAAATTTCTTCTTTTCTTCATAGACAATAATTCCCCATATTATCCCATCCCACTCTTCTGCTTTAAGGTATTTTGGATCAGGTTTCCATGGTCTAACCAAGAGAATGAAGCACCATAGTGCACCAAACCCCTTCATTAATACCATAACCATTATTCTGAATGAGTTGAAGAGTTAAAGTCAATGACAAAATGTCATAGGTACCGGAAGCAAAATGCATTAGCATAATTTCTAAAAAATTATACTT